CATATGTCACGTTCAACTTAAAGCGTTTTTAGAAAAGGTCCAAACATTTTTTTTTCAATAATTGATCGGAAACTGAAATGTAGAAATTACTTGAATAGCCACCAATCCTCTATAAGTACAGAACTGTGATGGCTAAGGTAATGCTAATGATTAAAAATATTTATTCAAGAGACAACAATACCTACCCTTCGACGTTTGCTCGGCATTCCAGCAATATAGGCGTCAGAGAGACGCCGCACAGCTGGTGATGTATCATCGCCATCCGATGTTCCCTCCTCTGCAGTGGCGACAGTTGTAGACGATGTCACCGCCATTTGGGCCACATCGGAAGCTACGAGTGTAGTCCATTCAGGTGGGAAGGAAGCGGGAGTGGAAGGTAGCGGAGAGTAATCATCCGAGGATGCAAGCCACTCACTATCCGGGTTTGGCGCCAGTGGATCAGTCGGCAAACTCTCCGAATCTATGTGCCACTCAGGCAGCGCCGCCGTGCTAATTGCATCGGCCTTCACTGCGCTGGTAGCGGTATCGATCGGTACAGTGGCAACAGCGCCAACTGAGGGAGAGCCGAGTGGAGCATCTTCGCTGGCGTCCATATAAACCTCCGAGCCCTCTGAATCGTCTGCAACATCTACCTAATGGCAAGAAAAGCATAAATTGAGATCGAGAATGGTCCTAACTGTTGCTACAGTTCAAAACGCACTTTGCACACAGTATAACAGTTCATTCCTAACGCCATCATCCTAGAACTGAGGATGTTCACATGCTCACTAAACACCAGTTGTGGGAACAAAAAAATGCACTAGAGTTTCTAGTCACCCGGAGCCTGTTACTAGTATTAAATGACAGTCACCGTCTTGGTACCAATGGCGAAACGGATGCACAACCCTTCCGGAAGCACCTAACAACTGTATAATCTCATAAGTCATTGCACATAAGTCAAAATCCACAACAAATAGACTAAAAAAGGACGCGACTCAAGAAACATTTGTTACTGATGCCGAAATGGGGAGTAGTAATTATCTACCTTTACGCATGAAGTATCAGGATGAGGAGAAGAAACACCAGATGAGGCCGGCAATGGCCTAGTAACGAGGTAGGACTGCATTCTTTCACGATTTTCGACGAAACGGGTCACTCCATTACTCAAGTACTCCCTCATGACGGTGTCCACACCCCGTTGGACTAAATTCATAGCTTCACGTTCTCTGCCATCCTCTGAAATGTAATAGATTTGAAAAACATGTTGATGCCGACAAGAAAGTGCAGCGGTACTGACAGCCAGTGTATCAGAGCTGTGTGGTATTGGTAAATGATCATTCCAAAGAAATCACAACATGAGACTTGGGATTGATTGAATAAATCATAACCAATAAAATCTGGCTTGACCACTTTCTTCAGTTAGAAAAAGTAACAAAGATTCTGTATGCCATTGAAAACGCCAAACAAAA